CTATTTCATTGATTTCTGCTCTGATCTTTATGATTTCTCTTCTCCTGCTGGGTTTAGGCTTTATTTGCTGTTCTTTCTCCAGCTCCTTTAGGTGGAGGGTTAGGTTGTGTACTTGAGACCTTTCTTGTTTCTTGAGAAAGGCTTGTATTGCTCTATACTTTCCTCTTAGGACTGCCTTTGCTGCATCCCAAAGATTTTGAACAGTTGTGTTTTCATTTTCATTGGTTTCCATGTATTTTTTTAATTCTTCTTTAATTTCCTGGTTGACCCATTCATTCTTCAGTAGGATGCTCCTTAGCATGGCTCTCTTTCTTCCCTAAAGGCATTTACTGTCTTGACTTTTATGGTATTCCTTTCCTTGTTTTCCCTTATAGTTTACCTCCTAAGGAAATACCCCTAAACAAATTATCATATTTTACTTGCTTTTGATCTTTATGTGTGTAATCATATATTACTCTGTAATCTTTGGCTTCTTTTTTCAGTATTATGTTTTTAAGATGTGTCTATGTTGCTGTAGTTAAGTTTCATTGCTGTATAATATCCCATTGTATAAAAACATGATGTGTTTTTTATCTGTTCTACCATTAATGGACACTGGGTAGTTTTCATTTTGGGGCTATTAGTGATTAATGCTGCATTGAATTCTTGTACATGTACGCTGGTGCATATAAGCATGCATTTCTGTAGCATTTTTCTGGAAGACGAATTGCTAGTTCACACTGACATGACATTTTACCATGCGATTTTCCAAAGTATTGAAATGCTCCCATTAGCAGGAGAGGAGAATTCCCATTGTTCCATAACGTTGGCAATATTTGTTATTGTCAGAGTTTTTAATTTTTGTCAATCTGATGGATATATAGTGTTATCTTACTGTAGAGTTTTATTTTTGCATTTCCCCATGTTTGCAGGTTAATTTCAGCTAACCTGAAATCTGCTCTTTGAAACTTATGGGCATTTATGTATCTTTTAAAGAGTCTGAGATTAAAACGGCTACTTCAAAAATCAGAGTAACATGTCGTAAATATAGAATTAAAATATTAAGGTGTTCTGTGGCTACCCTTATGAAGCTAACTCTGAAACACAGTTTTGATTTTATTCATGAAGCCTCAAGCTGTTTGGATCCTGTTTCCATCTGTATTTCAAAGCTCATATTAAGCTACTTTTTGAACATTCCTCAGTCAATGATCTTTGTCCAAACCCAGTAAAAATACAACCAAAGCATAGCTAATGACTGCATCAGAGAATCTGCCCATTTTACCTACTTTGGATAAAGCTGCAGAAGAATGAAGAAGACACCCTCAGCCCTCCTGTCCCTGACTCTGACTCTGATGTACCAGGACAGGGTGATGAGGATGAGAAGGTGAACCAGATGTCTGCTACCTCTCTCATCCCCAAGAGCTGACCCGGCTCAGCCCCAGGCCACCTGGTACTGAGACCTCAATCACTTCTCCCCACGTCCTTCAGGGAATCCATCATTATTTTGTGGTTGTTTTTTTATTAGCAGAAAATGTTATGGGGAAAAATGAAGAAGAGGATTTACATCATGCAATGTACCTACTACAGATGTTCACAGCCAACTTTTTGGCTCTCTGAAATTCTTTCTCTCAGGGCTGCTACCATAACCCTTCTCTCCTTTCCTACACACATCCCAGTCTTCCTTGATGTCCTGGGCAATTCATTTCTACCCTCTAACTTGCATTCTCTGCTCAGAAATACAAAAGCCCTTCAATTCACATGACCCTACCCTTCAGAGAAGGCAATGCAGTTCTGTTAGCATCCTAACATGCTCTTGGGATCTTATCCCCTACCACCTTACAGTTTATAAAATACCCCTCATAGCCACAGAGAGTGTGAAGACAAGGTCTGATAAATACATCTTTGCCATCTTTTTATGTCAGCTTCCAAAGTTGATCCAAACCTTTGATCCAAACCCATTAGCCTCACCGCCACCACCCACCCCTTGCCAGAAGAGTTAACATGAACTGACAGGAAGTGAGTGACTTCCAGTTGGCTTTGACCACCAGCAAATTGCCCCAAAGGCAACTAAGAACATGAGGAAGCAGAAGCATGAATGATCCAGATGACGAGGCTCTGAGCTCTTAACACTCTGGGCCTGGGGCAGAACATCCAAGGCCTGACTGCAAGTTCTCTTGTCACTTTGCCTTCCCCTAAGTCTCAGGTTCCCTACCCTGGAGCACTCTCTGCTGCCAGAGGATCAAGAGCAGTGGAGAAAACGGACAGGTCTTCTGCTCTACGAGGTCTACGGACAGTCAGAAACAGTAGGTAGAAACAGTAGGTAGATGGTACTTTCTTGATCAGTCAGGATGTGCTGAGCCACTGAGCCCAGCAGACGAGCTGAACCATGTATATGCAGAGGCCCCACTCTGCTCACACATTGCCTGAAGCCAATGGGAGGCTTCAGAGTTCTAGGCTAATTTGCCCCAAATCAATTTGCACAAAGACAATTCACAGCTCATCAGTTTGTCAAGAGGCCAATGTCCTGAAAACTATTGGACAAAACTTTGAAAAGGGGTGTAAGGACATGGTGCTACCATCCCTGGGATCATTAGCTCTAGGGAGCCCAGGAGGGGTGGCGGGATGGGAGGTTCTCTCCAGTAACATGGAGCCCACCATCAGCAAGTCCTGCCTACTTCATTCCTTCCTAGGGTGGCAACCACAGGCAGCCAGGAGCTGGCCCCAGAAGTTCATTTCTGGATGCTCATGTGGACAGCACACAGGTTTGATTGTGGGACACTAGCTAGAGTGGGGGAGGGAACAGAGACTTTCTGTATATACCAACACACACACACAGACACACACACATACACACACACATAGTGTGACTCCCAAAGGCATCACTGACTAGCCAGGTGACAGGACATTCAGAGTATCAGGCATGTCTTAAACCAGAAAAACGTTATTAATGATAGTAGGGGCAGGGGCAGGTATCTTCCAACACAATTCTCAAGTCATTTCTGTTGCTGGGCCACTTTCCCCAGCCTCCTTGTTATCCCTGTAACTGACAGACAGACGACTACCATCTCAGGAGCTGGAGCAAAATGACTATTTTAGCCTCAATTCACATACTCGTCTTGACTTTTTTGCAAAAAAAAATATGCTTTTAAATCATCAGTTAATTGGTCCGCTTCCAGGCCTAAGAAATATTAAGACTCTAGGTTAGTTCTTGTATGGTTCATAGTTTATATTTGGACAAGGAGGAGGGTGGGATGAGAACTACAATATACCCATGATCCAGGTTCCTTTGTATCAACTCTTTGCAACAACAGAATACTGCCTCATACCCAGGTGGTGCTGTATTTCACAAAGTATTTGCATAGCCACTGACTCATCTCTGGGACATTTTCCACATGCCTGTACTGTGAGCAGCAACATAGCAAAGGAGGAAGAGCTTTCCCTCTCAGGAACTCAGACCCCGGTTCAAATCTCAGCTTGCCAATTACAGGCTTCAAGACCACTGGCATAGCACTGAACCTTCCAGAGTCTCTGCTTCTCTGTCTCCAAAATGGAAATATAACCCAGTCTCGCTGGGTTGTGATAAGGGAAACGAAAGGAAGTATATAAAGCTCTGGCTACAATGTCCAACCTCTTGTACATGCTCACCTTGCTGTTACTCTTGTTTTTAAGTAAGTGTTGCCCTAGATACTAGGGTAGTAGAGATGAATGGGGCAGTCTCTATTCTCAGGATGCTTGTTATTCACTGAGGGAAACAGACAAGCAAAAATAAGGATAATTGGGAGCTCTCGGTTGGCTCAGTGGGTTGAGTTTCCGACTCCTGGTTTCAGCTTAGGTGGTGATCTCATGGGTCGTGGGATTGAGCCCCTGCATAGGGCTCCATGCTCAGCGGGGAGTCTGCTTAAGACTCTCTCTCCCTCTGCTCCCCAAACCCCATTCAAGCACTCTTGCACTCTTTCTATCTCTCTAAAATAAATGGATAAATATTTTTTTAAAAAGAAGTATAATGCTCTCTTGGCTACAATGGAAGTGTGGGAAAAAATACTACAGAAGGAGAATGTCCCAACTGACTTTTCTTGGGGCCAGAATAATAGCTAGTTGTGACTGTTTATGGAGCTAACTTGGTGTGCCAGGCACTGTGTGAAGAGTTTTCCACACACTCACAGGTACTATGAGAGCTAAGTGTTATAATTACCCCTTTACAGAGAAGATGAAGGGGGATTAATTGGCACATAGCTGGAGTCAAGATTCAAATCCTTGGGTGGCTCAGTCGGTTAAGCATTTGCCTTTGGCTTGGGTAGTGGTCCCAGGGTCCTGGGATTGAGCCCCACATTGGGCTCCCTGCTCAGCTGGGGAGCCTGCTTCTCCCTCTCCCCCTGCCCGTCCCCCTCCACCCCTACTCTGTCTCTCGTTTTTCTCTCTCTCAAATAAACACACAAAATCTTAAAAAGAAAAAAAAAAGATTCAAATCCTGGTCTAGCTTAGCTTTAGAAAGATATTTTAGAGTACCATAAAGGAGGAATAAAGTTCATCAGGAGGATAAATGGGGGTGGGGCAGTTGCCTAGCAGAGGGGACAACACAATCTGAATATTCTCAGCACAGCTCTGAGTCGTTGAGACAGGGTTCCTATCACTGTTTAACAGCCTGAGTCAATGTTAAATGATATCATGGCCTTCCTCTAGCAAACGGACACATGTCTGACATACAGTGCATACTCCACACCTCACGTTACATGCCCACAGCCCCGGGCTCACCCCTTTGCTTCTTTTTTGGCCCCTCGCAGTGGACCCGGTAGCCCCAGGAGCTCGCACAGGCCCAGTCTATGTCAGGTGTGGTGAATATCTGCTGACCAGAATTGGGTCCATGCCTTGCACCTAGAATCTGGGCCTTCTAGCTTCCCCATAAGGGTTCTTTGCATAGCATCGAATGACATGGATGAGTGAGGATGCTGTGTGTGGTTCTTAATGCTTTGTAATCAGCCTGGACTCTTTGGCCAACCCCATTTTCTTTCTTTTATGAATAGGGAGTAAGTTGTGTCACTCTCCGTGGAATGAAGATCAAGCCGGGTTCCATCGGGAAAGGCATCCCCTCCTTCGACGTCCAGGTCTGGTCCTAAAGGCATTTGCTGGGTGCAGTTAGGGCTGAGCTGGGATTGAACAATTGTGGGACACCAGGTGACAGAACCAGCTGTGCCCACTCCACCCCACCCCCACCCCAGTTGTTGTCCTTCTTCCTCTCCTCCTGTTTTCCCGCCGATTTCCTGGGGAGGCTTCAGTTGAGAACTGCAGTATCCTGGGCATGAATGCTGCTCAGCCTGGCAGCCGGAAGCCTCATACACAACAGATGGGACCAGAGCACCTGGAGGGAGCCCTGGCAGCTCTCTCCATCAGCTGGTGCTTCTAGTTTTCCCTGATCTGTGTTTTCTAGCTTGAAGACACGTTTGCCACGTCTGCATATCCGTGAGACCAGGAGACCCATAACTTGGGTTTCACCATTTCCTGACTTCAAAGTCTTCTGACAGCTGTAATCTATTTTTTGACAGGGCTCCTCCCCCCATTTATTCTCACCAGTGTCACACAAATAGTCAGGTACTGTGTGGGTGGGGCCGGCGTGTTGGGGTGGCCCTGCAGGTTGGGATCCACAGGCCTGTTGCTCCAGATCATTGACGACAAGGGCAACAGCCTGCCGTTCAACACTGAAGGCAACATTGGCATCAGGATGAAGCCCACCAAGCCCATTGGCCTCTTCATGGGCTATGAAGTAAGTGGTGATCCTCACCTGCCCACTTCCAGGCCCCCCAAATCCCTTCAGGGAGCAGTGTGGGTACTAAGGGGGTGGATACAACTCTGTACTACGAGCCTTCTTCACACCTCTCTTCAGTCACTCCAACTCAATGAAGCCTCTTCTAATTAATCTCTAAGCTCCTAGTGTGTTCTCACATCCTTTCCTGTCCAAAACCATCTGACACTTAAGTGCTGACAGGGTAGAAAGAAGCACCCCAGACTTGGGTTCCAATGATCTCTCTCTCTTTTTTTTTCAGATTTTATTTATTTATTTGACAGAGAGAGACACAGTGAGAGAGGGAACACAAGCAGGGGGAGTGGGAGAAGGAGAAGCAGGCCTCCTGCAGAGCAGGGGGCCGGATGTGGAACTTGATCCCAGGATCCTGGGATCATGACCTGAGCCAAAGGCAGATGCCTAACGACTGGGCCACCCAGGCGCCTGTCCAATGATCTCTTGAGGTTGAGTATGCAGGAAGCTTTGACTGAGTTCAAATCCTACAGTCCCACTTACCAACAGGCTGTGCACAAATCTGTTAACCTTGCTGAGCCTCCAGAGAGGACAGTGGTGCCCCCACTTCACAGAGGAAGAAACTGCAAATTGGAAGCTTTGTATGTTTTCCCCACGTCAAATAAATGGCAGGTCTAGGATTCAAACCCACATCTTTTTGGTTCCCAAACCCTACGTAAGAAATCCAGGGATTACATAAAACTGTGACAGGTTCTAAAGAAACCTGAAACTCTTGACCAGGCAAATTCTCAGCTTCCAAGATTGGTCAGGGGAGAGTGGACAGACCTTGAAGTTGATCTCAGACCCGTCTCCTTTCTCCACAGGAACAACCATTGGTGTCCCTGTTGGCCTCACTCTATGGCCTTGGGGGTGGGTGGTGCTGCTCCTTTTGTGACGTTATTGACCAAAAGCAAATAATGCAGGCCCTAGCCTTAATTCACAGTAGCACGATTTTAGGCTTGGATAAAAGAGGAAATAAACAGAGTAACAGATATATAGATCAGTGGTTCTCAACCCTGCCTGTATGTTAGAATCAGTTGAGGAGATTTAAAAAAATAATTCTTGGATCCAATCATAGAGATTCTGGCTAAATTAAACTGGGATGGTCCAGAGCAACATCAGTTTTGTTTTAAATTGGAAGTAACATATTTTATTTTACAAAGATGTCCTCCTCTATGCCCACACCTGTGTAGATATATACCCCATTTCACATGCTCTCTTGACTATAGGTTGTCACTCCTCCACTGAGATTTGTTTGCTTTTTTCCTTTCTTTTCTTTACTGAGGTAGAATATATAAAATTCACCCTTTTCACCATTTTTAAGCATACAATTCAGCAGCACTGAGTAAATCACAACATTGTACAATTACCACCATGCATGTGCAGAAATTTTTTCCATCCCAAATGGAGACTCTGTTCCCATTAAACAATAACTCCCCCCTCCTCCTCATATCCCCAGCATTTGGTAACCTTTAATATACTTTTTGGCTTTAAGAATTTGCCTATTTTAGGTACCTCTATTAAGTGGAATTGTACAACATTTGGCCTTTTGTGTCTGGCTTATCTCACCTAGCACATGTTTTCAAGGTTCATCCATGTTGTAGCATGTGACCAAATGTCATTTTTTTTTCAGGCTGAATGGTATTGTATGGGTATACCATATTTTGTATATCCATCAATTTCTTAATAGACATTTAGATTATTTCCATCTTTTGGCTACTGTGAATAATGCTGCAATGAACATTGGTGTGCAAGTATCTGTTTGAGTTCCTGCTTTCACTTCTTTTGGATATATACCTGAAAGTGGAATTGCTGCATCTTATGGTAATTCTATATTTAACGTTTTTTTTAAAGATTTTATTTATTTATTTGACAGAGAGAGAGAGACAGCGAGACAGTGAAAGAGGGAACATAGGCAGGGGGGAGTGGGAGAGGGAGAAGCAGGCTCCATGCTGAGCAGGGAGCCCGATGTGGGGCTTGATGCCAGGACCCTGGGATCATGACCCGAGCCGAAGGCAGACGCCCAATGACTGAGCCACCCTGGCGCCCCTATATTTAACTTTTTGAGGAACTGCCAAAATGTTTTCCACAGTGGCTGCACCATTTTATATTTCTATCAGCAATGTACAAGTGTTCCCGTTTCTCCATATCCTTGCTAATCCTTGTTATTTTCAGGTTTGTTTGTTTGTTTTGTGTGTATAATAGTCATTCTACCGCATGTGATGTGGTGTCTCATTGTGGTTTTGATTTTCATCTCCCTAATGACTAGTGATGTTGAGCATCTTTTCATGTGCTTATTGGCCATTTGTGTACCTTCTCTGGAGAATTGTCTATTTAAGTCCTTTGCCTATTTTTAAAATTGGGTTGTTTGTTTTGTTGTTGATTTGTAAGAGCTCTTTATATACTCTGAATATGAACCCCTCATAAGATATATGCTTTGCAAATATTTTCTCCCATTCAGTGCATTGTCTTTTCACTCTTTTGATAGTGTCCTTTCAAGTAAAATTTTAAAAATTTGATGAGGAACATTTTATCTATTTTTTTCTTTTGTTTCCCGTGCTTTTGGTGTCATAGTCAATAAATAATTGTCAAATCCAAAATCAGGAAGACTTCCCCCTATGTTTTCTTCTAAGAGTTTCAGAATTTTAGCTCTTGTGTTTAGGTTTTTGATCCATTTTGAGTTAATTTGTGTATATGGTGTATAAGGTAACTGCATTCATTTGCATCTGAACATCCTAGTTTCTCAGTGCCATTTGTTGAAAAGATTGACTTTTCCCACTGAATGGTCTTGGCATTTTTGCCTAAAATCCATTGACCATATATGTGAGGATTTCTTTCTGGGTTCTCTATTTTATTACAATCATCTATGTGTCTTTTTTTTTTTAATGCCAGTTTTGTATGGGTGTACCATATTTTGTATATCCATCAATTTCTTAATAGACATTTAGATTATTTCCAGTATAGTTTTGCAGTAAGTTTAAAAATCAGTAGTGTAAGCTCTTCTCCCTGGAAAGAAGAACTTTCTTCTCCCTTTAAAAGATTGTCTTGGCTATCTGGGATCTGTCAAGATTTCATATGAAATCTATAGTTTTGCAGTAAGTTTAAAAATCAGTAGTGTAGTTTTGCAGTAAGTTTAAAAATCAGTAGTGTAAGCTCTTTTCCCTGGAAAGAAGAACTTTCTTCTCCCTTTAAAAGATTGTCTTGGCTATTTGAGATCCGTCAAGATTTCATATGAATTTTAGGATGAATATTTCTATACCACTGAGATTTTGATAGGGAGTGCATTGAACCTGAAGATGGCTTTGGGTAGTACTGTCATCTTAATATTAAGTCTCCAGGGTGCCTGGGTGGCTCAGTCGGTTAAACGACTGCCTTCAGCTCAGGTCATGATCCTGGAGTCCCGGGATCGAGTCCCACATCAGGCTCCCTGCTCAGCAGGGAGTCTGCTTCTCCCTCTGACCTTCCCCCTCTCATGTGCACTCTCTCTCTCTCTCTCTCATTCTCGCTCTCTCAAATAAATAAATAAATAAATAAAATCTTAAAAAAATATTAAGTCTCCAATTAATACAGTATGTCTTTCCATTTATTGATACCTTCTTTCATTTCTTTCAGCAACAATTTTTATTTTTCAGTGTACGTCTTTCACTTTCTTGACTAAATTTATTCTTAGTATTATATTCATTTTGTTGCTATTCTAAATAGAATCATTCTTTAATATCTTTTGTCCATATATAGTTTTTTCTGTTTTTTAGTTCTTTGTTCATTTTTTCTCTTAGTTTTTGATCACTTAACACGTTTGACTTATTATTTCTTCCAAGTTTTTATTTAAATTCCACTTAGTCAACATACAGTGCAATATTAGTTTCAGGAATAGAATTTAGTGATTCATCACTTACATACATCAGCCAGTGCTTATCATAAGGAGTGCACTCCTTAATCCCCATCACCTATTTCACCCATCCCCCTGCCCCTCCCCTCTGGTTACCATCACTTTGTTCTCTACAGTTAAGAGTCAGTTTCTTAGCCTTCCCCTCTTTTTTCCCCAATGTTCATTTGTTTTGTTTCTTAAATTCCACATATGAGTGAACTCTAGAAATCAGATTCTCCCACTTCCCTGGGGGTTGAGGTTGCTGGGGTTTCATTGTTTTGTTTTTTGATTTTGGACTGTTGAAGGCTATAGTAGTCCTTTGTTGTGGTACTTTTGCAAATTCTTTAAAGACTATTGTTTGTCATGTGTGATTACTGAGGTTTCTGATCCTTTAGCTCGTGTTCAGTTAATGTTTTGACAGAGATTTCCTTGAGGGGCAGGAGCTCAAATGAACAAAGAAAAACATCACCAACCAAAAAAGAAGAGAGAACAACCACTGTGCAGATTGGCTCTGTGCTGGGATACTCCTTCACCACTTAGCTGGACTTGCTCTGAGCCTAGGGATCAGCCTGAGATGAAAGCTTAAGGTTTTCTCAGGACTTTGCTGAGCATGCATCTTGCCCAGGCATGTTCACGGCTGTCTTAATTCCCCCATGCATATAGCTGTCTTGAACATCCTAATTTCAAAAACAAAAAACAAAAAAAACCCCAAAACTCACTCCAGCATCTCCCCCAGACCTTGATGGTCTATTGTATATCTCCACCCATAATCTCTTACGTCAGGCAACTTCACTTTTGTAGTTTGCCTGGTAGCTTCTATGAGCCGGGCCTGCTGCTTTTTTCTGAGTTACATAAAGTGAGTTCCTTGCACCTGTCCTTCAGGCAGCCCCCCAGATAGGTTAGAACAGATGCACACAATAATCATTATTTTACTTTAAAACATCTGTTTTTGGGGGCACCTGAGTGGCTCAGTGGTTAAGCATCTGCCTTCGGTTCAGGTCATGATCCCAGGGTCCTGGGATCGAGCACCGCATCGGGCTCCCTGCTCCACGGGAAGCCTGCTTCTCCCTCTCCCACTCCCCTTGCTTGTGTTCCCTCTCTCGCTGTGTCTCTCTCTGTCAAATAAATAAATAAAATCTTTTAAAAAAATAAAACATATGTTTTTTAAAAAGTTAATCAGTATCACAAATGGAAAACAGTATGATTTGCCAAAAACAGAAGGCAATTATAACTATAACTATAATGCAAACAAAACAATTTTTCTTGAATTCTAGCTAAACCCTGTTCCCACTAAAAGCTCCAGTCCTGAAACTTACTCTTGGTAGTTCCAGAGCTTTTAAAAACATGTCAGAGGGTCTCCTTAATACAATCAGAACAATTGGAAGGGAACCTAAAATGGGATGTCATTCAATTTTTTTTTTTTTAATTTTTTTTTCCTGGACCTTTTTCAAATCATTTCATGTTTCATGAGAGGAATGATCTCAACACATTGAGTGTTTGAGTGCAAACACTTGGTGGTTGAGTACAAAGGCTGTGGAGCAAGAATTAAATTCAAATACCAACCCTACCACTGACCAGCTGGGTGACTTTGAGTGAGTTATTGTGCTTCTCTGAGCATTCATTTCTTCTGTTATGGCCTATAAAAATCTAGCCTCACATAAAACCTGCACATGAATGTTGAGAGCAGCTTTATTCACAATAGCCCCAAACTGGAAACAACCCAGATGCCCTTCAATGGGTTGACACCCAAACTGGGGTTCATCCATAACATGAAGTACCATTTAGCAGTAAAGAGAACAAAGTATTGATGAACATAAGAAGCTGGACGAATTTCCAGAAAATTATACTGAGTGAAAAAAATAAAAACAGAGCTAGTCCCAAAAGGTTACATACTCTAGGATTCCATTTATGTAACACTCTTAAAGTGACAAAATTATAAAACTAGGGAATAGATCAGTCCCTGCCGAGGGCTTAGGGATTTGGAGGGAGGGAAAAGATGAGGGAGATGGGTGTAGATATAAAAGAGCAACACAGGAGATCCTCAGGATGACGGGAGTCTTCTGTAACTTGACTCTGGTGGTGGATGCACATTTGATAAAATACACGTAGACACACACAAAAAAATAAAAGTAAACTGCTGGGAGATCTAAGTGAGATTGGTGGACTGTAGCAATGTCAGTATCCTGGTTGTGATATTGAACTGTAGTTTTGCAAGATGCTACCATTGGAGAAAACTGAGTAAGTGGCACACAGGATCTCTCTGTGTTATTTCTTATAACTGCATGCAAATATATAATTATCTTTTTAAAAAAGATTTATTTATTTATTTGAGAGAGAGAGAGAGAACATGTATGCATGCATGTGTGCATTAGTTAGGGAAGGGGCGGAGGGAGACAGAGAATCTCAAGCAGGCTCCATGCTGAGTGCAGAGCCCTACACAGGGCTCGATCTCACAACCCTGAGATTATGACCTGAGCAGAAATCAAGAGTTATCCGCCCAACTGAATGAGCCACCCAGGTACCCTGCAAATATACAATGATCTTAAAATAAACAGTTTAATTAGAAAAATAAAAGCCTTGTAGGTTTTCTGGGAGGATCAGATGAGGTAGTATTTTGGGAAGGAAATTCATTTAACAAAAGTGTATTGAACCTCTCATTTATCCAGGCACTATGTGAATGCTAAGCTGAGAACAATAAATAAAATACACAGGGTCCATGTTCTAGTGGAAATTTTATTATACTAGAGCGCCACACAAAAGTGAGTTGTTACTTTAAAAACTTATCCTTAAAATTGGCTCAATATTGTTCACTAATTGACAAGTAGTGTTCATTGAGTACTTGGATATAATGAAAATAGACTCAGAGAGATTACAAAACTTGCCCAGGTGCCAAGTAGAGCCAGGAGCGGGATCCAGACCCAGATCTGAGCACCAGGTTGTGGCTCATCATCTCTAAACTCGTTGCCTTCAACAAAGGGGTATTGTTGTCTTTGCAGGACAACCCAGTAAAGACAGCCAAAGTGGAGTGTGGGGACTTTTACAACTCTGGAGATAGAGCAACTATGGATGAAGAGGGCTACATCTGGTTCCTGGGGAGGAACGATGACATCATCAATGCCTCTGGGTAGGTATGGCTGACCTGAGCCGGGAGGCATCACCCTCACATGCCTCATGGGATCTAGCTTGTTCTGACATTCATCCAAGCTTGGTGATGGTTAGCTCAGGCTGACTCTGAACAGAGCTCTGTCTATGGGCCCCCTTTCTGGGGATACCTGTGCACCTCCCCCAAGCCCTGCATCCAGAAAAGTCTATCAAAATGTAGTTCAAGAAGGTCTGCAAGGCGAACCATAATGAGACATTATGCAATTTAAGGGATTTGGAAGGAAGACGTTACATAGGCCCTTATTGTTGAGGAAGCTTCCTCTATGTTTGGCTCCTCTAATGGGACACAACAATCACTGAAAATTTTAATAATAGATAACAACAACATAAACCTTTATGGGGCACTTACTATGGGGATGCACACTCTGCAGTGCTTTATATAACCCAGCTCTCAGTGCTAGAAGGTAGATGCAGTTATGCCCATTTTACAGATGAAGGAACTGGGTTACTGACTAGTGAATAAAGTTCCCTAAAGTTTCAGAGTGCTGGGTACAACCCAGATTTACCAAAGCTGTCTGGCTCCAAGTCAGTTGTCCCTAAATCTTCACGTGATTTGGAAAGAAAAAAAAAAATGACACATTATACCAGAGTAACAAGTTCTCTTGGCTATTTCAGGGAAGTTGAGTGTGTTTACCTTTTAAATTTCTAAAACATGCTAATATGATGGGGAAGAGTATGCAGAATTTGCATGAATGTTTAAGATAAAGGCTGAGGCTTCTAGTAGGTTTCATGCCAAGGGAAGCTGCTTGAGCCCAGCCCCAGAGCTCGGGGAGAACTAAATATTCACCCTCCTCCCTGAGCAGAGGCAGTGAGGTGAGAAACTCTGGGGAGCATGTGAGTGTTGTATTTCTCAGCACGGAGTGCCCATTCTTCATGTTTGGGGCCCATGAGAGAGCCAGGGCACAGGTATCTGGCTTCCTGTGACAGTTATCCTATGTGACAAGGGACGAGGTGACCCTCCAAAACATGAGACTTGAGGGCTTGGGTCACCCGGCCCTGGCAGCCACTCAGAAGCCAAGAAGGAGCCCGCAGGTACCGCGTCGGGCCCGCAGAGGTGGAGAATGCCCTGGCCGAACACCCGGCTGTGGCTGAATCAGCTCTGGTGAGCAGCCTGGACCCAATTCGAAGGGAGGTGAGGAGGACACAGAGGTCATCGTGTCTGTGTGTGGGCACCAAGGCAGGTGCCGGGAAACCTTCCTCCTGGTCCTGTCTCTCCAACCTTGGACCTCGGGTGGAGGGGGGCCCCGGGGTGTGCATGTGCATTTACACTGTGTGGCCACCAGAGAGCAGTGTGGCCTCAACCATGTGGGACAGAAAATGATGCTTGTGAATGTGGCTTGCAGCTGGGGCTACTGCTGCCCGTCTCCTAATTTCTGAGCCCTTCCTACCTGCCGGCTCATTTCCCCCTCACAGCAACCTCATTAATTAAGGACTCTGAGACCCTTTTTTACAGGGAAAGAAACAAGCATAAGGAGATTAAATAAGTTGCCTGATCACAAAGCTGTCAAGTGGTGGAGCCAGAATGGGAATGTGAGCAGTCTGGCTCCAGAGCAAGCATTCATTGATTCACTGTGTGCTGAGCACCTACTCTGGACAAGGCCCTGTGCCCTGTAGACGCGACATGAATAATAGGAACGTAGTTAATCACCACCATTGATTTAATGCCCACAGAACTCTACCTATAATAATAGGGAAAATGGTGATGATAATGATAGGAATAAAAATCAGTTTAAACGAGCTTCATGGTTTATATGAATGATCTCGATGAATCTTGAGAGCCATGCCCTGAGGAATGAAGCCGTGCTGTCCCCACATCAGAGAAGGACATGGAGGCTGAGAGAGGTGAAGTAATTTTCCAAGGCAGAGAGTAGAAATTGGAAGTATGGACACTGGTCCTGTTCTTTTCCAGAGGCTCAACTGTCAACTTGTTTTTCCATTTACTTAATACACATTTACTTTTTAGACTATACACTTGGTTGCCACTCCCCCTGAGCCTCCACTCTGGTTCTGCGCTGCAGGTGGTGAAGGCATTTATTGTCCTGACTCCGGAATTCCTCTCCCATGACCGGGACCAGCTCACCAAGGAGCTACAGCAGCATGTGAAGTCAGTGCCAGCCCCGTGTAAGTACCCCAGGAAGGTGAGTGAGGGCAGAGGGATGGGGCCTGGTCCCGTCCAGTGGGCCCTGGGCTCTGCTGCCCCAAATCTCCTGGGGTGGCTGGGGTGGAGCTTACGTAGCCCATGGAATGAGCATTTTTCTCTACTGAAGAAGCATTCAACTTAGGGGTTTAGGGGAGATCCATCTTAATCATGGAAACCTCTATCCTGTGTCAGAAAACAAAAAGGCTGACAAAAAACCTACAGAAAAAAATCAGCCAAGAGCCTAGAAATATCCAAGAAGGATATTTGAAATCTTTCACAATTTGAAAAAGACATTCGGGGCACCTGGGTGGCTCAGTCGTTAAGCGTCTGCCTTCGGCTCGGGTCACGATCTCAGGGTCCTGGGATCGAGCCCCTCATCGGGCTCCCTGCTCGGCGGGAAGCCTGCTTCTCCCTCTCCCACTCCCCCTGCTTGTGTTCCCTCTCTCGTTGTGTCTCTCTCTGTCAAATAAATAAAAAGAAAATCTTGAAAAAAAGAAAAAAAGAAAAAGACATTCAAGTCAACAACTGCCACACTTTTAAAAAACATTATTTGTAGTAAGAAATATATTCTAAATTGAAGCCCAATACATATATAGATACATAACAAACAAAAGGTAACAAAATAATATTTATTGTAGCATAAAATACATTCTGAGAGATTTTTTTTCTACCTCGTTTTCAGTGCCATGTGAGAACTATGAAAATGTCCAACAATAGAGAAATGATTAAATTATTCGTGGTAATTAATGCTGTCCTATAATTTAAAAAGATGATGCAGATCTCTTATTTGTAACATAAAAAACATCACAAAAATATATTATTAAGAGACAAAAGCAGGCTGTGAATAAATATACATGTTATCTGACTTGTTGAAAAACCACGTTTGCAAGGATACATGGGTCAAAAATTTAACGTGTCTTTCTTTTGTAATAATACATTGCTGTGCTTTCTGAGTGTTTACCCAAAGCTAGATAGCTAATATTTATTGAACATGTGTGCCGGGCGCTGGACTCAAAGCTCTACATGTGTTATTTCATATAATCCCCCCAAACCTGAGATGGTATAACCATCCATTTGACAGAATGGAAACGGGAGAGGCTCAGAGACTCACAGTAAATTGCCTGAGGTTGGAGTGAAGAAAAGGGCAGAGCTGAACTCAAACCCAGTGTATCTGAAAACGGAGTTCGTCCTTCACATGTAAGGCTCTGCCGCCTCCTAGAGAGTAGACTGGAGGATGCAGGCCAGTTAGGATGGGCTGATGTTCCTGTGAGGAACTAGTAGCCCCTGTCTTAGTGGCTCCTACTAGGGAAGTATCTTTCTTGCTCCGGCCACATGTCCGCATGGTCTTCCTGGGACCAGGATAAAGGAGCACCCACCATAGGTAACTGCCAGGTGCTAGAAGAGATGGACAGAGTGGATGCCAGACCAGTGGTCTCAAGTGTTCTGTTCGAGGTGGCACGCCTCACTCCCACTCACATCTCACTGGTCAGAGCACATCACAGGGCTGCATCCAACTTCCCGGGTCAGGGGACACCCTGACATGCCTTGGTGGAGCCTACTGGGGCCACCACAGGGTGCCAGCCCGTCTGGGGGACTGTGCAGGGGCAGAGGAGGAGCCTGGGGCATTGGTAAGAAATGACAGCAGGACTAAGTTGGGATGGGTTTGCTTTATCCTTGACCAGATGGAATTTGTCTCAGAGCTGCCCGAAACCGTCACTGGCAAGATTAAAAGAAGTGACCTTCGGAAAAAGGAGTTTGGTCAGATGTAATCAGCAAAACCCTCAGAAACCACTGTGTCTTCTTTGCCAAATCCCTGGCTGCCTCAGTTTCCTCACTATGGGGAGGGTGAGGAGGGGAGTGTTGGACATTGATTTTAAGAGCATCAGGAGTGCTCACATTGCAGCATTTTTGTTCTTTTAAATTACTATCCATTACTCTCCTGCTTCCAAGTCCCCGAGTGAGCGCCCAGGATGTAGCTGGGGTAATAAAGGGACATGAGCATCCAAGGGGACTTGTGTTGTGCTTTGATTCTGTGAATGAACCAGAGCTAAATGCGGTCCCTCCATGATTCTCCCCAAGCCCCATTGGAGAGGACTCTGGGGCCAGATTCTCCCCCCTGGTTCCAGGGGCCCTGGGTGACTCCTGTTGTCTGTTCAACAACCACAACACAGAGGTCTGGGGAGGGACCCTTCCTTGGCCCCAGGTGTCCACCTCTGCCTGGCTTGCCCATGCCCTGCTGGAGGGTGAGGTCAGGGCCAAGCTAGTGAGGTGGCTGGGGAAGGGGGAAGGCACCGAGGGCAGCCCAGCCTGGTGGTTCCACCTGCCTGCCAGACCATTCCTCACCGCTCCATCCAGCATGCCATGGACCCGCTGCCTCTGTATGGTGCTGCTTCCAGGTCCCAGCCTGCACCAGCTTAGGTGTGGGAGGGATCTGCCCTGTGGGGACCCAGGAAACCTGCAAGACTCCTCCAGCCCTTTCCGGGGTGCCCAATCCCCCATGCCTTCCATGGAGCCCAGGAGCTCCGTTCCCCAGCCCTCCGTAGGGCCCCCCAATCACTCACCCTTCCCCAGGGCCCAGGAATCCCTCAGCCTCCCCAGGGGCCCGGAGCTCTCCCCACACTTTATGAGGTCCTCCTGCCATCTGTAGCCCGAGAGATGATGTGTGCAAAGGGCAGGGCTTAGCACAGGCCTGAAACAGGAGGGACCTCTGGTTGTCACCAGTGTTGCTTTGAACAGCTGTGAGACGTGAGGCACCGGATCTGGGAAGGCACTTGCCCCATGGAGATGATGATGCTAATGTCCACAGGTGCTCAGCACGGGGCTTCCTCTTGTCCTCAGCACAGTTATGGACACAGGCTTGGACGCCCCAGCTCCCTGAAGGAAAGCAGCCCAGGGTCACAGAGCTGGTAAGCAGCACAGCTGGATCTCACACTCTAGGCTCCCGGCCCTGTTTCCAGGGGCCACGAAGGGCTTCGTAGACAGGAGGCTGACACTGGCTTTGGGGACACTTCCTCACCTCCACGAGTGATCTCACCTGTTCGAGGCCCCCAAACTCTGTTCACTGCTTCTTCTTCCCTGCTCCCTGTTCCAGTTATAATCAGGGTGACCCCGGCCATCCTTCCTGGAATTCCCTAGTCCCCCTTATAGGCTGGGCCTATATATATATAGTCTGACTCCACCCCTTCTGTAGCTGCTCTCTCCTTCTATAACCAGGACCACCCGACTCTGGGGCTCTGGAGGCGGGCAGCAGCTTCTAAACAGAATTTAATACAAATGTTTTGCTATCCTTGTTTTGTTTTTGTTTGCGTGTCTTTTATGGCTTCTTTATATTTTATGGCTAATTATATAAATATATTTATATTTATGTTAAAGATACTGCGTTCCTATTTTAGCAGTGCTGAAATGGTTCCTGTTTACAAGAAATTTACACAGTAAGTGGTGGTTTGTAGAGCATTGATTTTCAGCTGCCTTGGGCCTGAATGAGTTGGGATTAACTCACAATTAGATAACACTAATTGTGTTAGTCCTAGAGAGAAACAGTTTAGGAGGTTCGGCTCAGGACAGGGCCCAAGAGAGATGATCACAGGGGGTTTGTCCAGTCACCTGGGTCCCTGGCCCTGCCCACCTGCTTGGCTCTCCCCGTCCAGCACACCTGGGGCTGCCAGCTCTCTGGGTGTTGTCTTGGATCCCCCAGGAGAGAAGCTGGTGAATGTTTTCTCTTAAAATGCTCTCATTCCTGGAGGTCCCAAGAGATCCCATGAGAGTCAGCTTGGATTGTTTCCCCTGTGAGGTTCATATCGTAAAGCCCAAGCTAGTGGGTAGCAGGGTCACATAGATAAGCGACAGATCTACCGCTGTTGGAGGTGTTCAAATGTCTCCGTCAATTAGGGATGATTTTGAGGCCATTCGGTCTTCTCATACTAATATCCCAGGATATACCAGCCCAGAAGACATATCTGATTACAATTTTGTCATGCTTATTTCATTCGGTTCCAATGTAGCTTTTTCTTTGGGATTTCTTTACTCCTATTTTATTTGTAGAGGTACTTCTCAATTTCTAAACATATGGGAATTTCTAGTGAGCTTTTTATCCATGATTTCTAGCACATTATATTACCACAACATGCTCTGTGTGATTTCATGCCTCTGAAACATATTGAAATGTCCCTTATGACCAAAATAGATCGGGTGCATTTTTGTAAGTGTATCCTATATGCCTAAAGTTAATGTGTCCTCCACAGTGGTCTATGGATGTGGACAGACATACGGAGATAGCTGTGGGATTCAGATGGTTTGCTCTCAAGGTCTACATGTTATGGATGTTCTGTCTGCTTTGAGTCACTGAGAGAGGGTTGAAACCTCCCACTCTGCTTGTGTATTTGCTTGTTGTTGCAGTTCTGTCCTCCTTTGCTTTATATGTTGTTCAGCCAATGGCTCTAGGATGGGAGTTCTGGAAGGAAGGAGATAGCGCCCAGAAGAGGGCAACAGGGACCTGGGTTGGGAGGCAGCAGAAACAAGAAGGATGGCCAAAGTTCCAGAGAGGACCTGTTATTGGGATGGCACGTGGTGGGGCGCCAGTTGGGAAGGGGCTCTTTAAATATGAGGTCACGCGGGGTGCCCATTATGACCTACCAGGGGCAAAGGCAGATGATTGGCTGAGAGAGAGTATAAAGCCTCTGGGTTGCTAAGGAATGGTTCAACCAGGGGAAGGCTTGGAGAAAAGTGTATCCTCCTCCAATCCCTTCACCTGCTACTGTTTCCTGCTGACCTAGTGATTTACTAACCTGCTGACCTACTACCCTTTCTGAACCTCCCCTCGAGTACTTACTCTGACCCTGACACCGTCGCTGACCCCTTCTTCTCCTGACAAACGCCTTCCCCAATCCCACCCTTTATTTCTACCCTGCTCCCAACCCTCATTAAAACCCTATCCCCTTCCCACCCCTTCCCACCCCTCCCTACCCCACCCACCCCTACCTCCACTCCACCCCCCATCTCCACCTCCTCCCTGACGCCCCAGCACCCCTTGAAAGGACCAAGACATGAAGGTGCAGAGGCTGTTGTTCCTGGTGCTCTTGCTGCGGTGTCCCGGTTCCCCAAACCCAAATGTGAGTAAACATGGCACTTCACTGGCATCTTCACAGGTGTGGGGGGAAGGGCAGAGGGGGAGGGAGAGAGAGAATCCCAAGCCAGCTGTGCAGTGAGTCCAGAGCCTGAAGAGGGGCTCATCCTCAGGACCATGAGACCATGACTTGATCCAAACCAAGACGTCGTCACTGAACGGCCTGAGCCCCCCGGTGACTCAAAGCTGCTAGTGGTGTCTTCATTCCTACTGGGTTCTTTCACATGGTGGTCAAATAATAGTTTTTTCATGGGGTTGTTGGTGAGAACTTCAGAAGAACTGCAGTTCTTCCTGAAGACCGGGGACCACAGGGCAGGTTTCTCGGTCAGCCTGAAGGGGCTGTGGCCACAGCCGTCCACATCAAGTTCTGGGTCCTGTCTGTGCTGCTTGGTCCAAAAAGAGCAGCTCTGGCAGGATGGAAACCTGCAAATACTAGGGTAATGGTGGCAAGAAGGAAGGATTTGAGAAGATATGAAAAGCCATTGAGCTCTTTGTCTTAAATAGGGGGCTTGTATGATATGTACATTATATCTCATTAAAATTGTCTTTTAAAATGTCGGGAATGCTAATTTATAGGAGCTACGGGCATTAGACTGGCTCCTGGAAGCCCAGTGAAGATCCTGCTTCAAGCCTTGTATGTTTAGGGTCCATCTTCTACATTGATTTCATGTCAGCACATTGTTCATATTTGTGAAGTTTGGCAGCCCTGGGAACAGTGGTATCTTAAGCATTGGTGTTGGGTCTTGAGTGTTAAACAGTGAAATGTCCTTTGTGCTCTGTGCTTCCTGGTTGGTTGACTTGTAACAACTTCGGAGTCAGCCCTTTCCTCCTGGCCTTGGAGGCTGTCCCCAGGGACTCTGTGTCCCACCAGGTCCGTGGGAGCCCTGAGAAGCCCAGCAGACACTAAGTGACCGCATCTCGCTGGGACGTTTGTCACAGGAAAATCTGATGGATTGATGTAATCAGGAAGTGAATGAGTTGTTACCCTTTCTTTGGCCCAGTGTGTACAGAGTGTTGATTTCCCCAAAGTCAAAAGCTCCTGAATGTCCTTAGGATTGTCCAAATATAAAGAAATACCTGGTTCCTAGTGTGACTATTTCACTCCTTAAAAAAGAAAACCCTTACCCTCAGGAGAGAGAGACAGACAGGGAACACTCTAGAAATAAGCAGACTTCTTTAGATCGGCCTACACCAGATTCTTAGAGAGGGATTTGCAAAGTGGGAGTAGTCAGGAAGGACCCTAGTGTTGAGGCAGAATCATCCCACATGAATACCTCCAGTCAAAATAGACTCGATTCTGTTTCTTTTGAGTCTTCAATGGAGGGAATTTCTTCGTAGTCTTTATTGGAAATATTCCCCTCTGCCTAGGCTGCATCTCATAGAGCACTTCGCCTTTCTCACCCTCCCTCATCTCTGAGCTCTTGCATAAACTACCTGGTCTCGCATTTCCCTCCTCCACCTGCTCATGGCCATTGTCTGTTAGAACCTAGTGTTATTGGCCCCATTGGATGTCATCTAGTTAAGAGTCAGCTACTGGTCAGCATCCAGACAGCTGCTAGATGTACCACGTGGCCACAACTGGGGGTGTTTTCCATTTGTGACAAGATGGCCTCTGTCTTTTGTGCATTTGATCCCCATGATCAACCATTGAGCAGATAGCTAATGTTCTCTTTCAGACAGCGGCTGTTCCAAGACCGTGTATGTTTCCCACCAGCACACATGTTTGTGACCTCAGCTGTGAGGGTTGAGGATGAAAATGTTATAGATTTCAGGGGTACTTTCTAGAGAGTTGTGTTTGCACAAAATTCAAGCTTGGTGTGAATTAGTAGGAATTGCATTGTGAGCGTCTTGTCTCCTAAAATACTTGGAACTCCAGTTTTTGTAAAATGAGATGTGTTCTTTGTTTTGGTGTCCATATCCAGGAATTTTGTATTCTTTTAGAAATGAAATTTCATGGTCACCTGGGTGGCTCAGTCAGTTGAGCTTCTGCCTTAGCCTTGGGTCATGATCCCAGGGTCCTGGGATTGAGCCCTGCTTGGGCTCCCTGCTCAGCCGGCAGTCTTCTTTTCTGTCTCCCTCTACCCCTTCCCCTGCTCATGCTCTCTCTCTCTTTCACATAAGTAAATAAAATCTTTTTAAAAATCAAATTTTAGAGTTGCTCTTGACTGATTTAGTTACAATACTGAGAAATAGGAACATGAATGCCTTTCATTGGCTTTTGGAGATAGGTGTTCAAGTAATTTAAAATGTCACAGATACCATCAAAATAAACAAGATCACCTGATTATGAAAGTCTTTATGTACCCCTGAAATCTGACATTTTGGGCTGTGATTCTGAAGCAAAGTGGGCATTGAAAGAAAACATCACTGTTTTCAGAAACTAAACAGTAATTCGAATTTATTTTTGTTGAAATAATAATCCCATATTCTTCTAATAGAAGCCTCCTGTCTCTCTCTCACTCATGTCCTGATCTATAAACATCTGTCCATAGAACATTCTCATTTATATCTCTAGTACATTTTTTAGTCTTGCTTTTTCTCATTCTTCCATAAATTTTGGGCCTATTTTTGGAAAGGTTCCAGAGGAGTTTATCCAGGTCCTTCATGGATGTACAATAGAAGTCAGTGACTTCTTACCTACTGTAAGTTTACATTTACTTATCTTGTCTATTTTATGTTGGCTTATAAATTCTTAAGTTCTGTTAGCTATAGAAAATTTATTTGCCATGTGTTTGTAGGCAAAATAAAATCTCTTAAGATTTGTCTATTAGATTTTTCCTACAGCTTCAGTGTTATATAATGTATATATGATCACAACATCTTTTTCAAGAATACAGTTTGTTGATAGTTGACATAGGTAAACACAGGGAAACCCATCAGCACAGTACGATAGTAAACACACTCATCACTCCCAAAAGTTTGCCCCTGTTCCTTTGTAATCCCTCTGTGCTCCTTCTCCTCCATGGGGAGGCAGTTGAGAGGTGTGCTTACCTGGGGGAGGCTGGTGGAGGGTTTGTAAAGTTGATTGTTTGGGACAGAGACATTGTAAATCTTTGAGATTCCTCATTGTCTCACGTGTTATTTCAGCTTGTCCATGTTGTGCCTGACCGTTTCCTTCTTGGCCCTGATGGGGTTGGAGTTCTATGGAAACTTCCCATTATCACTGCCCCCTTGGGAGTTTGTGTCTTTCTCATTTATATCTGGAGAACCATCCTCGCTGTAAGTATACTAAAGTAGCTTATATATACTGTTCTTCATAAATGAGCAGAAAATTTTATAGTTATTGGACCTTTTATATCCATTCAGTAATAGAAATATCCCTCTAATACATCAATTTTGATGATCACCTAGATTGAAATAGATTTAAATTTGTGTTGCAGTGCCTTCTGTGATCCATATGTTCTTTTTTTTTTTTTTTTAAGTTCAAGCATAATTGGCCAACAGTGTAGTATTAGTTTCAGGTGTACAACATGATTCAGCAATTCTATACATTTCTCAGTGCTCATCACAATAAGTGTACTCTTAATCCCCTTCACCTCTTTCATCCATCCCTCCACCCACCTGCCCTCCAACCCATGTGTTCTTTAGAAGTGTGTTGTTTAATCTCCATTTTTTGGTCATTCTCTAGCTATCTTTCAGTACTTGGTGTCTAGTTTGAGTCATTTGTGGTCTGAGAACATACGTCCTGTGATTTCTTTTCCTTTGGTCGTTCAGATGTATCTTATGGCCCAGAATATGGCCTCTCTTAGTGAATGTTCCATGGGAACTTGAGAAGAATGTCTTTAGTTTGGTTGTTGAATGGATTATTCTGCAGATGTTAATGGATCCAGTTGATTGGTGATGCTTTTCAGTTCACCTGTATTCTCATGGAATTTCTGTATCTGTTGGATCTGTCAATGACTGATAGAGGGTTCTGAATTCCCCAGCTATAATAGGGATTCATCTGTTTCCATCAGCAATTCTTTCAGTTTCTGCCTGATGTACTTCGACACTCTGTTGTTAATGCATGCACATGAGAAATTATTATGTCTTTTGGAGGATTGACACCTTTACCGTTGAAGTAATGCCCATCATTATCCCCGACGGTTTTCCTTACTCTGTAGTGTGTTTTGAAGGATCATTTCACTGGCCACAGGTTTCTCGTTGGATGTTTCTGTTAACACTTTAAACATTTCATCCTTCTTGATGGCAAGGTTTCGGAA